GGGATATTTTTAGCAGGTTATTTACATCCCCTTTATTTACTCCTGTTTTCCATTTATACATATCAATCATATCCTCCCTAATTCTTCGCCTTTCTAGGTAGTTCAGATTCAGTGTACTCAGCCTATTTTTGTACCTACCTTCAAGAACTTTGCCATCCTTCTCTGTACGCATTAATGTTCATTCTGCAGTACGGTGACCAGAACTGCATAGATTCTAAATGAGGCCCCACCAACGATGTATCGAGTTGAAGGCTCTGTCATTTATATTTCTTGACATGAAGCCAAGAATTCTATTCGCTTTATTGCAAAACACTTACGCAGTGTTATCTTGGTTTTAGATTACTGCTAACCAGAGCTATTTTTTTTTCTCATTCAGAGTTAGTAAAATCTACTTGGTTACTTCCTTTTCCAAGGCTTAGGATTTTGCATTTGTCTATATTAAACTGTATCTACCACTTCTACGACCACTGCATTAGGCTATTCAGAGCTTCCTGTAATACTCTAGTATCCTTGTCAAAATTAATCCTATGACCTAATTTGGTGTTATTGGCAGACTTGCTTATGTAGCTATTTATTTCCTTATCTATGTCATTTATGTATATTTTGAACAACAAATGACCCATCACTGACCCCTGTAGAACACTGCTTTCTTCCCATTTATACAAACACTCTCGGGCCTATCTGTCACCCACTCATCTATCCAGGAAAAAATTCTGTTCCGTGTTCCTCTACTTTCCTTAACACTCTCCAATACGGAACTCTGTCAGAAACCTTGCTGAAATCTGTTTACATAATATAATATTCATTATCATGATCTACCTCAAATACCATAATAAAAAACATAAGTAAATTCGTAAGGCAGGAACGCCCCTTTGTAAAACCGTGCTGAGATTCATTGATCAGTTTATGGTCTTTCAAGGTGGATTCCAATAGCCTCATCAGTTATCGATTCCATCAATTTCCTCACATTGAAGGTTAGGCTAATTGGTCTATAATACGAAGCCGGTTTCGAGAGTTTTCGTACTCATGCTGCCCAGCCTTTGGCCAGGGTCGTCTGCTGCTTGCCTGGCTGTTGCTGTTGACAGCCTGCTGGCTCACATATTCTTCCAACCACATCAAAAGAAATTAAATGCAGCAGATTTTTTGATTGAAGAAGTGAGAAGGGGAGCTCACAAAAAAAGTGCGAGGTATTAGGGAAACTGTTAAAAGATGTGTTATCAGTGGTAACGGAGGCATTACCAGACAGCGAAAGTAAAACGGTACATCAACAAATACTGAACAGTGGACACCATTCACACCACATAGAAAGAAGTGAAAAAAAAGATATCAAATTATTATTATTATTATCAAAAAGAAGCGCTAAGCCACAAGGGCTATACAGCAGGATATATCAAAGGCAACTGGAGCTGACAAGGCGTCACCTTGAATTCTGGGAGAGGAAGCAGAAGCACTGTCTGAACCACTGATTAAACTCTTCACCAAGTCAGTGGATAAGGGACAGTTGCTAGAGATCTTGAAGACAGCGAATGTAGTCCCAGTATTTAAGAAATTAGACGGACAAGAGGTGCTGAACAAGAAACCAGTATTATTGACATTCATACTATATAAAGTAATAGAGAAGATAATGAGATAAGTAGTTACTTGCGCTCATCCCAAGCAAATGCAAAGCTATGAGGACTAAGGATGGTGCAAGAAGACCGGAAACGAATAGAGTCTGGGGACAGAGGTTGCAAAACTCAGAAAAATACCTTGAGGTGAGCATAGTGTCTGGTACTATTGCCAATCACACAGCAAACATATAATCTCTACAGCCAATACTCGTCTGGCAAATCTAAGAGTAGCCTTCACGAATACCAGCAAAGAGTCATTTCAGACCCTTTATACAATATAAGACTCATTTTGTAGTATGGAGCACCAACATGGAACCCACAGCTGATGAAGCATATTAAGACCCTGGAAATAGTGCAGAGGTATCCATCAAACCAAGTTGTAGAACCAAGGAAGCGACTAAAGAAAGTGAACCTAACGACATTGGAGGACAGAGAAACCAGCAGATAAGTAAAGGATGCTCATTCACATTATCAAGAGTAACAGCACTAGCAACTCAATGTTCACTAAATGCCTCTTGACCCATATGGGTTTGGAGTTTCTCCGAATAATTATTTGCAGTGGCTAACGCGACGGTCTGGAGTTTTGAGACACTCTGATCGCGGGTTCTATCCCCGCCCGTGGTATGGTTTGTTTGCAATCGTGTCATTACGATTTCGTGAGTCAATTATTTATATGTTTACTGAATGAAAATAGCAATTCTACTGTGATAACCTTTTAAAAAATAATTTTTACGGAAAACTCAAAATAATAAACTAGTTAAAAAATGTTTGATACAAGTTGGACAGAACATATCGTGTAGATCAGTGGCTGCGTAGTTCAAGAGGGTAAAGTTCTGGTCATACCTCACCTCACACACGTATTCCGTGAGCCCTGCCACCTTTACCTCGATAATGCAACGGTTCAAGGTGATGAGAAAATTAAAAGCTCCTACGTGTGTGTGTGTGTGTGTGTGTGTGTGGTGTGTGTGTGTGTGTGTGTGTGTGTGTGTGTGTGTGTGCATGCACGCGCGCGCTCGTGTGTGTGTCGTGCCTAATAGGCAGGACTCCCTTAAAAATTGGACTTTTCCAAAAACTTTTTTTACATATTGATAGATATATTTTTTCCTTGACATTGATATAAAACCTAACTTAGAAACCTCACCTAACTTAGCGAGAGTTTTTAGATAAATTATGCTATATATAAAATATAGGTCAGTTTTAAATTGATTTAATATTGCTTAAAATCAATTATATAATTTTTTTCGCGATTTTCACCTTGATTTATACATATTTATGACAAAAACAAACGTTTATTCTGCTTATTCGGCAGAAAGCACCCTTGCCGAATAGACCAAACTTGCCAGTTCGGCTTCTTCGGCAGACATTTTCCTGCTAGAACCTGTGTTACAAAGTAGTTCACATGTTACAGTCGATTAATCCTGTTAAGGTTTTATTACGATAACATTTTCTACAACGCAATAAAATGCAAAAGTTATAGGATATTAAAATATACATTTATTGGTGGTAAACTAGATCTTATCAAGTCATTTATTTAGTTGTGCTGCTGCTTTCCAGGATTCTGAGAGTAGGTTGTAGTGTTACTTTAAAAAGTAAATGGTGAGTAGGACTTAATTTTAAACGAGTTCTTGTAATTGACAATTTCTACTGTTCGGCAGGATAATATATAATATTATTATATATAAATATTATATATATATATATAATAGATTATATTATTATTTTATTATTTGCGTGTTAAAAAGATCAGCTAAAAGTTTAGTTTGCAGACTTTAAAATGCTTAAATCGATGCTATAGGGAATTAGTGAGAACCAAGCATGGATTAAGCCGATGTTTGAGGCTTTGTGGGGGATATATAATGGAGAAAAAAACGAGGAGAGGTTAGTGTCATTGTTATATATTTCATGAAGAACCAAATGCCTTTGAGGATCATTCAGTTTGGGAAGTGGAAATGGCTCCTTCCTCGTCTACAAATAGCAAAATAGCCTGACCAGTCAGACTTATGGTGTGCTGGGCCATCAGAATAAAACTCAACATTAATGGGTCACAAAAAGTATTTATATAATATTATATATATTATAATTATATTATTATATTATATATATAATATATATACTTCATAATATTATTTATATAATTTTAAAATTATTAATATTATATATAATATTTATATATATATATAATATATATTATATATAATATATATATATATATATTTATATATATATATATATATTATATATATATATATATATATTTAACAAAGATATACTATGCCGATCAAACAGTAAATTTAAAAAGAAAGGAGCCATTAGTACTAAAATTCTCTTAAACGTAGTTTACTGTACCACGAAGACCATAATTTGGTAAACCATCCCGAGTCCAGGGACTACTGCTTTATATTCACTTGACAAGAATAATAATAGCACAATTATGTATGAAGCATAAACTATTTTTTTTTTATCTGAGAAACAGCCAAGCTTTGTACTTTATATAGTTAATATTCTGTTGTAAAAAAAACTTGTATCCTCTTATTATATATTGGCCATATGGAATGCTGTAATACTGTGTAATATCTGTTATGTCAAATATCTGTCTATATAGTAGTCCTAATCTTTGTGAATAAATCTCGAAATAGTTCCTTTAACTTCTGCTCTCTCTCTCTTTCTCTCTCTCTCTCTCTCTCTCTCTCTCTCTCTCTCTCTCTCTCTCTCTCTCTCTCTCTCTCTCTCTCTCTCTCTCTCTTTCTCTCTCTCTCTCCTCTCTCTCTTCTCTCTCTCTCTCTCTATCTTCTCTTCTCTCTCTCTCTCTCTCTCTCTCTCTCTCTCTCTCTCTGTCGTTACGAGGATTTAATGGACTCGAGATAATCTGGAGTTATGATCAGGACATTATCGACGCATTACCATCCACATTATGCTGCCCAGAATTGTTACAAGAAATGATCCGGTTCCATATGCACCTTCGTGTAATACCTTAAACTCTTGTGAACCCTGAAACCAATTCACTTCAGAAAACACACTCTTGTTTCTTGAAGTCCTTTTAAAGTGATTTCCTATATTTTCAGGTCTATAGTTAGCTGACCAACGAAAAATGTCCTCATACACTATTTGTCTACTTGTCACTCCAAAACAAAACAAAAAACAAAGTGTCCTGATCACATTTTTTTTCCCAGGCACCTATAGGATATGCAGACCAGAATTCAGAGAAGAGGGATATAATAATATCAAAGATATATTTCTGAAGTTACATTATCTCATATTCTTTATGACTGTAGAACGAAAGTCACAGACACTCAGCACTAATTTCTGCTCCCTATGCTCTTAAGATTCCCTAGAACATCTTTCTGTATCGGTACCACACGAACTATAAGCTTATAATGTTTCTGTTTACAG